TGGGTCTCAAACGGTTTGGTCTAAACAAATATTTCCATCTATTTAATATAGTTGTTCAAAATAAGTTAAAAGATCATTCCAATGTCAGTAAAAAATTATAAACACAGTTTGGAAGGGGAGTGATTAGTAAAATACGCATAAATAAAAAGAAAGAATGCAGACTAGGTAAGATAAAGATATAGAGAGGAGTATATCAATGATGTGTTATTGGTTGTGAGCATATTATGGCTTTTGGAGTATTGAAATATATACAGTTCTGTTTCATATGAGTGTTGAGAGCTGTATCCATAAATCTCTTAATTTGTGCACCAGATTGATGCCTTTAACTTCAATTTAAAGAAAATAATCTTACCGGGGATGCATGCCCCCGGACCCCCCTATAGGATGTGAGGTCATCGCAAATAAAACAGGTTCATGGATAGATAAGTTTGCACACTCATTATACACACTACACATTTTTCTTGGATTAGTTAACACCATAGTCCCTAATATATATTTGTAGAAAGGCAGGAAATGGAATTAAATCGAGAACAATGTTTCATTGCGGAGGACCCCCTGTTTTGAGTCGCCCCCACTTCTCAAACCAAAGTTACAGCCTTGAGTACTGTACTGAAGAACTGTACTGAAGAACTGTACTGAAGAACTGTACTGAAAACTACTCAAGAACTGTACTGAAGTACTGTACTGAAAACTACTCAAGAACTGTACTTAAGCGCAGTTTTGAAGTCAAATTGTGAGGAAAAAGTGAAATTAGAAGAAAATAATCTGTGTTATGCTATTACTTTGTCTCTTCTGTGTTTTGGGGCCAACATCACTACATGTATATTTTAGAGTTTTAGGCAAGCCGGTTTTATTTATAAAAAGCATTCAGATTATAAAAATAATATTTGTTAGTTTCATTTTGTTTTTGTTTCAATGCTTTTTTCAAGGTTTTTAGGTCAGAAATTCTTGGATACCAAAACTTTTTTATACAGTAACTAGAAGTGAAATGTGTGTTTGTTGGCTGTAGGTTCTCCGTTCACCCTCAGTACTCCGAGTGCCCCGGGTCCGCTGGTCTTCACGGCTCTGAGTCCAGACTCTCTGCATCTCAGCTGGGACAAACCAAGGAAACCCAACGGAGACATCCTGGGATACATCGTGACCTGCGAGCAGCTGCACGGTGGAGGTGAGTCAAAAACCCTGAAGAACAAAGAGAAAATTCGGACCAAAAGTAAAAAATCGAATTCCCTATATTAGAAAAAAAAAAATAAAGTTATGAAAAAAGTAAAATTCTGAAAAAAAATGTCAAGTTTAAAAAAAAATATCAAAATTATGGAAAAAAGTCACATTCTGAAAAATACATTTAATCATAATTTTTTTTATCAAATTACGAAAAAGAAGTCAATTTACAAGAAATTCTAAGAAACATATACAAACTTATGCAGTTAGTTTTTCCATTTGTTCGGTTCCCATTTCTCTTTGTTCTGAAGCACATGTTCTGTGTTGTTCTTCCAGGAGACATCCGCTCCTTCCAGGTGAATGGAGACACCTCTGAGACGAGTCTCACCGTCCCGAACCTCACGGAAAACGTCCCGTACAAATTCAAAGTCCAGGCTCGAACCACACAGGGCTTCGGACCCGAGAGGGAGGGCATCATCACCATCGAGTCTCAGGACGGAGGTGAAACAGATTTAACATTGTATTACTTCAGTTTCAATGTCCACAGAAAATTGTTAGTGTACAGTTTTATTATTATGCTGCTGTGTTTATTGTATCTAACTCTGGCAAAACAATTTCCTTCGGGATGAATAAAGTCCTATCTTATCTTATCTTAGACATGAAATACAAAATATATTTATTTTTTAACTCATCCCTTTCTTTTTACATTTAAAAATGAAAGCGTTAAAAAAGATTAGATTATTCAATCCACTCAAAATTTCATCCAAATCACTCGATTTACAAACTTCCTGCAGTTATTGTAGATTATCAGTTGTTAAGCATTGCCTATGAAATATCCATAAAATACGTCACTTAGTTAGGGGTAAAGAGGTTGAGAACCACTTGTCTAGTGCATTAATGTAATCTAAGTATTTCTTTCCTTCCTCTCTCCTTATAGGCGATATGTCTCAGTACGACAGCCAGTCGATGTCGAGGAGAGAAGTTTTCCAGTTGCCGACAGATGTCAGTACTCTGACCAACGTCTCGCACACCATGATCAACGACCCCTACTTCTCAGGTACAAATGAACTCTCATCAATCGCATGTATCAATCGTATGTCAATTATACACTGAAACTTTCATGTGTTTTAAAAAAAAAAGGACTATTGGTTACCTATCTTTTAGACTTAATAATACACATTATACTCGGCTGATCATCGGGATAATCTCAACATATTAACAACACTTTATGGTTTTTGAAGTAAAAAGCAAATGTTATAAAGGCTAAAGGACGTCACCACTGCTAAGCTAAAGGAGGCTAATGTTGTGCTATAAAGGAACTACAGCACGGTCACATGACTTCACGTCACCACCGCTAAGCTAAAGGAGGCTAATGTTGGGCTATAAAGGAACTACAGCACGGTCACATGACTTCACGTCACCACCGCTAAGCTAAGATAACCTTAGCGAGATAGAGAGAGACGGAGTCTGTGATTGTGGGAGAGAGGGAGAATGGGAGCTGGTCTGCTCTCTCGTCTGCTCTTCACAACTACACTTTATTTATCTCCACATATTAATGCCACTACGATTTTTGAAGTAAAGAGGCTAATGTTGGGCTATAAAGGAACTACAGCACGGTCACATGACTTCACGTCACCACCGCTAAGCTAAAGGAGGCTAATGTTGGGCTATAAAGGAACTACAGCACGGTCACATGACTTCACGTCACCACCGCTAAGCTAAAGGAGNGTGTGCCTTGGCAGTCTCACGACAAAAAGAAAAGTCTTCAGCCTGGATTCAAAAGTAGTCAGAGTTGCAGCGGACCTGCAGGTTTAGAATAAAGCTTCTAACTATTCGATACATCCTTAGAAAAAGGGTTATAGTTTCACTTGTATTTAACTTATAGCACATGTAGGAGAAGTGATGTGAACTTGTTATTTAAAAGAAATGGCGTATTTGTTTAGATTTGGTCAGCCATGCAGCATGTCACATGACCATACTACATGTTGGCCAATTGAGGTTAATGCTGGTGAACCAACTAGTATCGTTTTCTCTTTTATGATGGATTCATCCTTGTGTTATTGGTGCAATACTATGAGCTATAAAAAACGTGGCTTGGTGGATCACGATATATAATGAATGCCTTTGATCCATTGTGATAAGAGCATAGTACAGGGTATATGCAGGAATCCTGAAGTCAGATGTAATGCCTTTTAAGACCCTTTCCATACATTTTAAGACCTCATCGCCACTTGGAGTTTTAACCGGTTACCTTGGCGACACACTTTACCTCACATTGACTATATACAGTATTGATTGTCCTTCCTCCTTATCTTCCAACCTTTTGGACGCTAACTTGCATTTCCCCATAACGATGTTGTTTAACAACCGGCGTAAACGGACCTTTGAGCGCTATGCCTTAAATAAACTACACAGAATCACACTACACACCTACGCAATGATTACATTCAGGCAGACTGTAGAATACAACCTCTTTGGACAATTGATTTACTTATTGAAAACAAGCTACAAAATGTAACACCTTGGGAAATGCAGTTTAATACTTTTTAATAGCGTTCATTTTCGCTAAATTGATTCATCAACTTTTAATACTTGTTAAGACCCCGCGGACCCCCTGTAGTAGCAATACAAGAGCACATGTTTACACTGATCCAGAAACTCTGAAAAGTGAAACTTCCCTGTATCCTGTTGACTCACCAGTTTGATGATCTTAATGAGAACCCAGTTATTGGTGGAGGAGGTCATGAGTTTGAAGAAGAGCGGGGCCAGAGACAGGTAGTTCTTAGGATTCCTCCGAGCCAG